ATCTGCCTGTTCTGTGCCCCACTCTGTCTCTGGTGAATCCTCTCACCCTCCGCATCTCTGGCCTGTACCCCAGTTCTGTATGAATAAAAAAAAAAAAAATTAAAAAAAAAAGTAGTATATTATTTTTTAACCACCTAATTTTTTCTTTATATCCTTTTACGATTGTACTTTCTAAATTGTCCCGTTTCTCTAAAATAATCACCCTGTCTGTAAAGAAGAAAATAAGAATTACCTATTCTGGGAAATTTAATTGCAACTAATATCTCTTCATAAATGAAGGTACATACATATAATTTACATTCAAAAGTTTTTTTGGTTCATAAGCTGTCGCCTGTTTTATACATACAACATATATCATGAATGTCTACCAAATTAATTTGTCAACAGTTAATTGTAGATAAAACTTCAATGCTTACATAATTTTTCACTATGTTGTTAAAAAGAGTCTATTGGTAGTTCTGTTGTTAAACATTCAGGTTTTGGTATTTTTTAAAAGTGTATAGACTGTTTCAACAGAAATTTGCCTTTTATTCTGGATTGGCAACTTTCGTCAGCCCAAAATATGTGATTATGAATCAGACTAAATTGCCTTGCTAAATTACCTTGGGTCTAGTTCTTCCCTTTGATTTTCCTAAATAACATTTTTAATAGAAATTCCATAGCAATGAATTGAATAGTAATCGCAATACACTGTTGTAGGGACAGTAGTGTCAGGATGTCTGCTTGATAGCAGTTACCCCAGAGGGTTAAAGATGGGTTGTTTTTCTTCATGTATTTCTCAACTCTGAGCTCTTTCATAATATCACAAAGTAATGTCACAAGTGTAGCTTCCTCATCTTTAAAATGGAAATAAGAACACCACCTATATTATGGACTTGTGAGGATTGAGGATTGAAGCTTTTTAGGTGAAACCGCTTGTACGTAATATTGTCTCAGTAAAATGTTAGTAGTAGTAGTTTCTGAAGTTCTAGAAATAGTAAAGTAGTATAAAACGTATGACTTTTATTATCCATCATTGACACCAGAATTAGATTGCAGTCTATCATTTATGAGAAAAACGGGTAAATGAGTGGGCTGTAATAATCTACTGATTTACCCAATCTCCTTTTTTTTGTAGTTTGGTATTAATTTCATAAAACTGGAGAGGACTACTGAATAGGAATAGGATTATCTTAATTACCTTTTCTTAACCAAGTAAACAATCAGGTATTTTTCTTCCTGAAATCAAGGATACATCTTTATGGTTATAAATGAATTTTCTTAATTTTAAACCATTTTTAACCTTTGTTTTTATCTGTTTCCTTTGTCTTCCTGTTATTCACAGTGTAAAAATTATTTGTAAAAAAAAAAAAGTGTAAAAGTTCTGTATGCTTGTGGAATAGAATTAGACTTCAATCAATAGCTTAATTCCTAGAGTCCTTTGAAAGTATTTGGGGAAAGTATTTTAATCCATCACTGTATTCTTTCATATGGTGGGTTTTGTGCAAATGTGACATAAATGACCTAGAAAGATCAGCTGCTAAACAAAGGACTTGAAGATGGAACTATCTGAAATTCACTTTCCTTTCTGTTGCCTTGTCTCTTTATTTCTAACGTTATTTTGTTTCTATGATTTTGCAGATTCTCAGATACTTTAAGAATTCTTACATCTGACACACCTCAGATCAAACAAAAAGGAGTGGAGCACTGTAATAGTGCTAACACTTCAGGTAATTTTAAGAAAATTTAAGGATACAAAACCTAACCTGTTTTGCCTTACAAATCTTAAATCTCAAATATTCCTCTCTGTCCTTCTGTTACAAGGCACCACCCCAATGTGGATTGGGTTGCCTGTCTGTGGGTCTTCACCCGTGCGCTTACGATTCAATCGTATTATGGGCACATAATACACACAAAAGGTTAAGTAATGGATTTATTTATAAGGAGAAAGGTAAAGGAATAACCCAGGGAAAGAGGGAGAGAAACACAGGTTAACTAGGATGTCCTACCAGTTCTGCTGACTTGGACTCCACCGGCACGCTGAAAACCGATTGAGCGCCAAAATGATCAGCTGCGAACCACCAGGTCCCCCCAGAGCCCACATGTCCGGTTTTATCCCAACCTGGCTGCTCAGCTCCGCCCTCATGTCCCTGCGTGCTTCTTCTTGGTACTGATGGGATTTGGAGTTCCAGCATCTGGAGTAGGGCGGAGTCCATGAAACCTGTACCTGTTACACTTCTATTTTTAAAAGATTGATTTTATTTATGCATACAAGAGCAGGGGTATAGGCTATATAAAGGTATGGGGGAGTGAGAGAATCTATCAGAGACAGTGGGGAGCAGAACAGGCAGATTGACTGACATACACTGCTGAGGGGAGCAGCAGGTGAGACAGGAGAGGTCTGCTGCGCTATGTGGGTCAGCTCCCTGGCTGCTGATAGCTTGATAGTGCTAGACTCAACCTCTTGCACCACCAGGGAGAACCTTCTAGCTATACTTTTTAGCTAAGTTTCTATCCAAAATAAAATGCACAAAAATTACATAAACACATACTAATTTTGTTTATATGGTGTTTTTCAAAACAGTACAAAAATAATGTAGATGGTTTTGAACACCTAAGATAAAAAAACAAAGTTCCCTTTACACCTCTGTCCCCTATCACAAATGGGCTGCATATTATTTCCTATTTCACTTAGCAGAATTTTTTTCTGTATTTCTTCTCTATGGAGCTCTTCTAGTTTTTGCAATAGCTGCAGTTTTTCATGAAACCTGTGTTTCATTCCTATAGGGATCTTGCAGGTTATTTTCTAAGAAAACACTTTAGTAAACAGATACTGGTTTGTCACTATAATAGTGAAAAACTGCAATGGGAAATGTACAATAAAGTAGAATTGGTCACACTATAAAATACTCTTGTAGATTTTATAGTAGACTCAAATTATGGGTATTTTCTTACATGAAATAGCTTTTTCTAGGCTTTGATTTTGGTTTCTCTCACTTCATTTACTAAAACAGTTCTAATTATATTTTTAGGTAAAATATAGGCTTTAAGATAATTAGATTCTGTTTTTTAAAATTGAAACTTTGATAGTCTAATAAATCCTTAAAGTTGATTCTAAATATAAAATATAGTCAAGTTACTGCATACAACTGAAGACTAACAGAACACACCCATCTAGCACAGGTAGAGTTTATCACTGGGCACAGCTACAGGAAGATACACCATAGGGAACTGTGGGCATCTCAGTAAAGTGTTAAAAGGACTTAAAGGACTCAGACTAAATGTATGTGATTTTTTCGATGCAAGTCCAACGAAATTCAGCTTTGTTTTGAATTGGGTATAGTCAGGTATAATCTACAAACAAGTATCTTTAAAAAATCTTACCGAGAATGAAGTTAGATTATAAGGAGGGTAAGGCTATAATTGGTAAAAGCAGCAGCAGCAACTTCTGTTAGACAAGATAAGGAGAAAGGTAGTTGTTTGTGGTCTGAGAAATGTTTTGTATGTGTTCAGACATGATTAGAGTGGTTTTGTTTTCTATTGAATCATCATGGCCAAAGAATAGCCTCATGTGACACTGAAGTTGTGTGAAAGTTTGAGTTGCAAATGCACCAGTTTGCAGTGATACCAAGGCCTAACTAATAGTACTAAGCCAGCTCCTGGCTATGAGGACCAAAGAATTGGATAGGATTGAAAAGATTTAAATTGCTTTTTATGAATATTAATTAACATTTAATTGAGAGATTTGCATTTTACCTACTCTGCAGGGTAACAGGAACCCATGTACTAGTAGGCGAATTGCAAAAAAAGGAATAAATAAAAACTAGGTGATTATAAACCCATATTGTACTAAGCATCAACTTAATCCAAACCTAGCCCAATTTTCAGCTGTTACAATTTATGATTAATTTTTGTTTCTGTTGCAGTAGAAAGCATTGAAGGCTTTCAGTGTTCACCCTACCCTGAAATTGATCAATTTGTTCTTTCTTTGGTGAATAAAAATGGCATTAAAGGAGGTAAAGATATCTTTTTTATTTTATTAACTGTTATATGATACAGTGATAGTACATTTAGAAACATTGTCTGCTTTCCAGGAATTCGGCGTTGGAACTACTTTTTCCCAGAAGAATTATTGGTTTATGATATTTGTAAATATCGATGGTGCGAAAACATTGGAAGAGCCCACAAGAGTAACAATATCATGTGAGAAATACTGTTTAATAAGTTCTTTGTATTTAACCAGTATTATAAATGTTCATAATTTTCAAATGAAGTTGAGAATGTAAAAATGTTTTTATAATAGATTTTGTTTCTGCTTTACTAATAATTTTAAAGATACAAGAAATCAAAAGTAACAAAGCCCCGAGACCCATAGCATGGCTAGTGTAGCGAGGCTCTAGGACCTTTCCACACTACAGGTCCTGACGCAGGAGGCCAGTGGGGCAGAGTGGGCAGACAGCACGGCAGGGGAGTGGTGAGTGACACAAGCTATGCAACATCTATCGTCTGACAGATTCCGGGTAGATCGGGAAAAGCTCTGAAAAATCAGACTTTCCACTGCTAACTTATGTTATGACCTCCCTTTTTTGTATAATCATGATATCAAAATATTCTGAGCAACGTTCAGCTTACAGTTGGATTGCCTCAGCCTCAGAAGGCGCTACCTGACCCTGACAAGCAAGTACTGTACCAGGGTGAGAAATTCCTCTTGAAGTCAAAAGTCATTAAGCAACTGGCTGATTAATAAAAACAAAAATGATTCTTACTGCAAAATTTCTCACTGCCAGACTGAGGAAAACCCAAATCTTATCACTCTACCTCTCATAGCCTTCTATTCAGTTTCTAAATAACCACTCAAGCTTTCTACTATCTAGTCTTTAGATATGCAAATTCACCCAAGTCGCCTATGCAGAGCTCATCAGGTTTTCTACCATCTAGACTTCAAAAAACCTCACTAAACTTTCTAACAAGTTTTTCAAAGAACCTTACCTTAATTTGATTTGCAAGAAATTTCCTCTTCCTGCCCTCACTTTACTTTACCCCCTAGGATGTCTCTATGAGAATGAAAGCCTTTAAGTAATAGATAATGCTTAAGGGACTTTGGTTAATCTTCACTGTGGTAAATATAGTAGTATTAGTCTTGAACCTTGTAAATCTGTGTACCTGTTTTAACCTTGATAGATTGATTTTAAAAATGTTATAATCTCAACTGAAGGTCAAAACGACCCCAGACTATTCTTAGCAAAAAGGTGATTGTGATCTTAGCCCATTTCATATGCTAATGTCATCCCTCTGCCTGCTTGAAGTGTATAAAATAAACCTCTGCTGAAGGCAGAACAGGAAGACTTGTACCCAACTCCCATTCCCGTGTCTTCCTCGCGCCCACTCCCCTTTTTTCCCTTTTTCTAGGAATTTCCGCTTGCCCACGCCATTCCCACCTTGAGACCCTGCCTGTCGCCCCCCCCCGCCCCTCCCCCCCCAAGTCTCCGACAGGTGAGGCTGTGAAACATCACTGCTTCAAATCAGCTACCTAGTAGGAAGCAATTCCAGGGCCTCAGCTACATACACTAGGTTTATTTACTGCTTGCAGGAATCAGATCCTGCCAAGAGCATTTTTTAGACAGGGGATTTCCTCCAAGCAAATACCAGTGCTTCAGTCTGCAAGACTGCTTGTAGTGCCTGTAGTTTTCCACATTGCTCTCAAGTTGGGAAATAAACAGCTAACAGTTCTGTTTTATTAGATTCTGTCAATAAGTATTGATGTCCTAACAATTTAGTAGCTTTTTGGAGCAACAGTAAGTTGAACATAAATTGGAAATATTTTTACTTCACTCTTACATATAATTGTTGTGGATGGGATGTGTCCTTTTGAGCATTCTTTGTAAATGATAACCACAAAAAATTCATAAAGGGGTGGAAAACTTGACATAAGTAGAAAACAATTAGCAAGTTTGAGAATAGGTATATACAGTGAGCATCTTAAATCCTGAAGTCAGTGACCACCACCACCCTCCTTTGTCTTTGCTCTTTTTCGTTCAGTAAACCCTTAAGAGCCTAAATTTCCCTCTAAGAATGACTTCAGCTCATTCTGACATGTTTTTTTTTTTTTTTTTTAAAGATTTATTTATTTGTGCATACAGAGCTGGGGTACAGGCCAGAGGCTCAGGGGCGGCGAGAGGCTTCACCAGAGACAGAGCGGGGAACAGGCAGATCGACGAAGTACACTGCTGAGGGGAGCAGCGGGCGGGTCAGGAGAGGTCTGCCGCGCCATGTGGTCACCTCCCGGGCAGGCGGGAATCGAACTCATGCAGAAGTGGCTTTAGCTTCTCAGTGCTGTGCTTTAACCCGCTGCGCCACCAGGGAGGGCCTCATTCTGACATGTTTTAACGTGTACTTTGAATCTATTCCATCCTTGAGATTTTTAATTTCTATTAAGATTTTTCCTTGAGGTATTGGTTATTTAATTTCCATGTTATGGATTTCTGTTAACTACCTTTGTTTATTTCTAAATTTCTTTTATAGTAAGAGAATGTGCTGTGTGAACTAAATATTTGATGAGAATCACATTGTAGAGCTAGCAGTTGTTTTATATGTGACAGTGAAGAGCTGCTTCTGATTATCTGAAACACTACTTATAAATACCTGTTCTCAGACTTGCTAATTGCTTTTTACTTATGTCAAATTTTCCATGCCCTTTATATTTTTTGTGGTTATTTATCATTTACAAAGAATATTTTTAAAAATCTTTATGGTTGGTTGGTTCTTGAATTTTCTCAGCTTAGCTCATGTTTTGAAGCTCTTACTTGGTGGCTACAGGCTAAGAATTATGCCATCGTAGAAAGGTTGTCTGATTTTTTTTTTTATATTTGTGTGATATTTTTTTGGCAGCCAGTTTTTACTTCTGGTTGTTACCTATTTCCATCCTTCTACTTTTTATCTTAGGCATTTCTCTTGTAAACAGCACAGAACTAACTTTGTTTCCTACCCAGTAGGTTATTAACAATTATTTTTCTATTTTCACATAAAGGATTTTAGTTGATCTGAAAAATGAAATTTGGTATCAAAAATGTCACGACCCTGTATGCAAAGCAGAAAACTTCAAATCTGACTGTGAGTTAATTTTTGTTACCTAATTTTTACTTTGTGATAAATATCAATCTAAAATAATTTTACTGTATTTCTGACTCAGGTTTTCCATTACCTGCTGAAGTTTCTTTCCGATTTCTTCTTAGAGAGGTAAGTGCAGTTTTCAGTTATTCTATCTCTGAAGTAGAAATAGGGTCCACTGAGCTGAGATAGCTTTTAACACACTGGCAAGTTGTTTTCACTTACAAATACATTTTAGTGACTGCTCATCTCAGCACATCTGATACTATACACTTCGTTCTTTCATCTTGGAAAAAACTGTTGAAACCTACTTAGCCGATCTGAAACGTTTAAGAAATTTGTCATTTTTCCCTTTACATAGTATGCCAAAATACTCGTATTCCTTTAAACAACTATTTCTGTAGGAAGAATTGTATCAAAGCATATATGCATTTTAACTTTTGGTAATCACCAGATTGCCAAACCCATGTAGATGCTTTGATATATAGCTTAATAGAATTTGTATTGTGTGTGTTATAAGTTTGTGTGTTTGTGTAATACATATACACACACACATACATATATACACAGTACACAAATGTATATATGTAAAGTCTTAGTATAAATTCAACTTAACCTTGATATAATTCACACAAAACATACTCATTTCAAGTGTACAACATAATTTAACATTTGTATATATTGCAAAATGACCACCAGAGTAAGTCATTAACACTGTCGTCACCATAGGACTGCAATTTTTTTTCTTGTACAAGTTAGCTATAATCATGCTGTGTATCACATTCCCATGACTTATTTTGTAGTTTGTGCACTTCTCCTGTGTTACCCACCCCTTGCCTCAGTTCTCACTGCGTGAGCTCAATTTGTTTTTAATTCCATATACAAGTGCAGTCATGTGGTGTTCATCTTTGGCTAGTTTAATTTCACTTAATGTAATGTCAAGGTCCATCCATTTCTTTGCAGAGGGCAAGATTTCACTCTTTACTGCTAGTATTCCTGTTTGTGTGTGCACACAGTACATTTACTCGCCCACCTATACATGTAGGCTGCTTCCATCTCTTAGCTGTTGTAAATGCTATGAAGTGGGGATACAGATGGTTCCAATTTAGTCTTTGTTTCCTTAAGTTACTCAAGAGGTGGAACTGTTACGTCATGTGGTAGTTTAATTTTCCCACCAACAGTGCATAAAAGGGTTCCCTTTGCTTTACATCCTTGCCAACACTTACTGTCTTTGAGAATAATCATTCTAACAGGTATCAGATGTAATCTCATTTTGGTTTTAATTTGCATTTCCCTGATTAGTAACCGGGAGTACATTAGCCTTCTGTATGTCTGTCCTTCTGCTCACTTTTTAGATTGTTGTTGCTTTTGAGCTGTATGAGTTTTTACATATTTGGGGTATTACTTCCTTATCAGATAAAATATGCACATGCTTGTTCCTATTTGGTAGGTTGCCTTTTCATTTTGTTGGTTTTCTTTGTTTACAGAAGCTTTTTAGTTTTGTGTAGTCCCACTTATTTTTGCCTTTGGTGCCAAATAAAAAACCATTGCTAAGACTAAGGTCAACATCAGGGAACCTACCACCTTTGTTGTTTTTTTAAATAATGTTTATTTTTACATTTTGTGCATTTTTCCATCTCAATTGCAATCCCCTTGTGCCATCACCATAGTCCAGTGCATTTCCCTCCCCCCAGTTTTTGACCCCATTCCCCACTCCACCCCATAAAATGTCTCTGGTATATAGCTGTTCTTCATTATTCTCTCCTGGTCCATTATACTCCTGCTATGAGTAAAATGATCTGGTATTTTTCCTTTTCTTTCTGGCTTATTTCATTAAGCATGACCTTTTCTAGCTCCCTCCATGTTACTTTGTTTTCTTGTAGTTTTATGGAGTTGATGATTTTTGTGTATGCTCTTAAGATATTGGGTGATCCGATTTCATTCTTTTTGCAGGAGGTTCTAACTTCTGGCACTTTATATTCTTGCTTTGTTACAAATCAATTATATATTTCTAGCTCTTGTTGATTTGTGTGGGGTAACTGTAACCGTAATAAACGTTGAAAACGGAGTATAATATCTCAAGGTTGCTTTAGTTACTAAGGATCTTTTGTGATTCTACCATGTGATTTGTGAAAACTAAGATTTTTCATAGAATGCATTGATTGCTTTGAGGAAGACATTTTAACAGCCTATTTGTTTTTTTACCCCTTTTGTTATTATTTGTTTCTAATGGTAATATTGAGCCATATTTGGCCCCTGAAATAAGTTCCATGTGATTAAAGTATTGTTGAATTCAGTTTGCTAACAATGTTCTTTTTTATGAAGCATTCCTAAATGGTTTTGGTAATACTGGCCTCATAAAATAAATTTGGACTTGTCACCCCAGCCCTCTTTCCCCACCCACAAGCAATCCATTATTTTTGGGAAGTTTAAAGAGGGATCAGTAGTCTTCAATGTTTTGTAAAGTTCACCAGTTAAGCTTCCCAGTGCTAGACTTTTGTCTACTGGAATATTTTTATTGTACTGGAAAGAATGTACCACAGGAATGATTGGTATTTCCATTTTTGGAATTTCAAGGCTATCTGCGCGACAATGGCAGTGTCTTATAAATAAATGAACTCACAGTCCTATGTGCGTAATACCATGAACATATCATGAAATTATCCTGCCTTCCCCTTTGGATCTACAGGAAGAGGAGTTGAGAACAGATGAAATAACAAACAGTGAGGCCGAGAATCTTCACAAACCACCATCTAGTACACAGTCAATAGAGGTCTCTTCTGATGCCAGCTGGGATGATGGCACTGATGATACTTACTTTTTGGAAGCCACTGAAGATGCTGAACTTGCTGAAGCTGCCGAGGTCAGTCTTCTCAATTATAATAGTGGAATGGATGAAATTCCTGATGAACTAATTATAGAAGTATTGCAAGATGAAAAGAGTAGCTAATTACGAACACTTACAGAACCAGGTAATAACACATTAAGTTCTTAACTGGCATAAAGCAACACTTTTAATTTCCATATTTTATGTATTCGCTTCAGTAAGGAATGAATTTAAGCAAAATTACTGTCTCCAGACAAACTAATCAGAAAAGATAATCACAAACAACTGAACATTAGGTAGTAACAGTTATTCTGAAAGATGAAGTGAAAAAAACATCTCTCAACAGACAGAACATGAGACTAATCCTCATACAGGCACAGTTCAGTAGTTTGGCCCTCTCATTCCTGGTCGAGGAGCTTCTCTAATTGATGGTTGATACTTTGCAGATGGCTTTCAGCTCCTAAAAGGGTTCTTGCTTTATATAACATAGCTGGAAGACTGGATGAATCATACTGTTGAAGGGAAATAATTTAAACAGATAAATGTTACACAGCTCTAAATATCATGACAAATGTTAGTTTTGATAAACTAGGATCATTAAGAAAATTGACACATTTGTTAATATAAAGCCACAGGAAGTCTTTTTGCAATGTTTGAGCTGACCTCATCCCAGAAGACCAGCTGTTTCAAATAACTGGCATCTGAATTATTTAAAAGTCATCCCTGGGGTAGGTCAGAAGTTGGTTTAGGGTTTGTTCGATCTCAGTTATGTTAAACACAAAAAACTAAAGTTGGGAAGAAAGATTGTCTTAGAAGTTGTCAATTCAAAAGATTAGAAAACAAATGCAACTCATAATTAACAATTATACTTACAAAATGAAATTAAAGTGGAAAAGCTGTACCCACACCATATAATGAAATTCTTTATTGAATATAATTACCCACATTTGAGAGCCTTGTGTGTGTGCAAGTTGCCACAGGACACCTGCTTTCAGGGAGAAGCTAACATTTGGGGCCAGTAGCCAGCAGACCAGTCTAGAAGGGCGTGAGGAAGAGGAGTGTGTTCCAAAATGAGTAGAGGCCTAAATGTTTTCAGCTGTTATTTTCCCAACCTCCAGTTATTTCTACACTGTTAATTTGCCTGAGCTTAAGGTTTGTATATTGGTAACATTTTCGTATAATGTAAACATTCTCAGGAATGTGAGCTTGTTATAATAGTAGTATGCCACATTCTCTATTGTATGTCCATTTTATGTTTCCTCTACTCCTGCTACTTTTAAGTAGCTAAAAAAGTGGTATGTCCAATTTTCACTTCCTTTTCTGGGTTGCATCTATATTGTCTTTCCTGAAAACTTAGGTGTTACACTGCAAAAGTCCTATTTTCAGAAATACAGTTAAAATACAGTTAAAAGTAAAAAACAGAAGTTACCGTTTCCTTTACACTGGGTTTTTTCTTTTGAATAGCTGAATAATCTTGATGAAGTTGTTTTAAATTAGATAAGAAATACACTGCATTCTTAAGGGAGGTTTTTTTCTCCTTAAGTTCATCATGTTTTGTTTGTAGTTGTTTCAGCTGTGGTTCTAACCTAAAAGAAAAATTTTCCCCAAAATGACATGTGATAAAGTGTAACAGACCAGTGTATGAGACTGAGACTGAGTAGAAGTCACTTGGGGCCCTACTGTGGGTAAATCACCTGCCTCTGCCTTTATGCGACACGGCAAGTTAAAAGTGATGAATCACGTTTTCCCTTACTGTGCCTTTTTGAAATATACTTCTCATAGGCCTGCGTGGTCTCACATTGACAGCCTTAACTTCATAAACATGGTAACCTGCCTCACAGGATTATGTCTAGTGCATGGGAAACTTATTACCTTGAGTTACTTTTCATTGGACAAGAAATATATCATAGACCTGTACCTGCTTGTAGACTAAATTAGGAAACAAATGGAACAATCAGTTACTCTCCTAAACTCTTGTAGCAAATGCTAAAACTTGGTACTTAATTTTACCTTTCTTGATACTGCTATTACACTGCATTACCAACAGCCCACCAGCTTGCACAAATTCTATATTGCTTGGATGCACTAAGAAATACTAGCTCTTGGGCTCATGTGTGCTCCTCCCTATCAGGCCCTGGAATGAACTAACATTTGGGAGTGAATGAACTATTCATGCCATGAAAAATTGTTTGAATAATATTGCAAAAAATGTTACCAGTTACACAACATTTACTGTCTGCCAATCACCATGAAGTGCTTGTGTATTTAATTCTCACAAACCTAAGGTAATCACTTTGTTCATTTATAAATGGCTAAGTAATCTGTTTAAGGTCCCACAGCCAGCAAGGCAGGGCCTGGGTTCCAACTCTGGTAGTCTAGTTTCAGAGTTCAGGCATTAAGTCCCTAGTAACTACCTCTCAGGTTAGAGTGAAGAGCTCTGAGAACAAGCCAGGCAGTGCTAGTAAAAAAGCTTCAACCTAGAAGCATAACTTACCTTCGCTGAATTTCCAGGCTATCACAGATAACCTGGGTTTTAATGCAACATAGCTGCAAGTTTTACAAGTTCCCCGGTAACATTAATTACATCTTGTAGGTACATCCTCAAAGAGATTTTTGGTATTATCTTACCGAAGCAGTTCATCCTGGACTTCAATCAAACGCTGTCTTTTCTTTTCAATATCTGAAATAATCTAAATACAAATTTAATTATTAAGAAATATTTGAGCACCTGCAGTGTCAGGTATTAGAATTACAGCAGAATCAAGAAGACCCAGTTCTTAAACATCATGCAATGTAGCCAAACAGGGAAGACAGGCATACATACAAACAGTATGAAGCTACAACTTGTGGGCAGTGCTAATGATGGGAAAGAACAAGGAACTCTGCAAAAGAATCACAGGGAGACACCGAGGAGGAAGTGGGGGCCAGATTTTTGTCCTGGGGATATAAAACAAGGACTTCAGCTGGGGAACATCATGGTCCAATTTGTACTTAAACATTTTGTTGATGATTTAACAAGATACTGTTATCTGAAATAATTATGTCACTACTTTTAGTGATTAATACTCCAGTGCTGAGGCGGACAGTTCCCACCTGCTAAATCACCAGATTAAAACTGAAAAGCAGTCTCGTGGCTTCAAACACTAAAGAAAGTACATACATTTCAAATCCATTTCTATTATAAACATAGCTGAGAGCTGGTCTTTTGTTCCAGGAGTCACACAAGCTTGATGCTGAAACTGCAGAGGGTCATCGAGCCTAACGCTAAGCAGGATGTACTAAAACAGGCCTCCCGCTTCTTGGATTCTCTCATTGCTCACCTGCTCTGTAGTTTTCTGTGTGGTCTTGCCCATTGGTCCCTTTAGCATTGTACTACAATAGATCTACCTCTGGTGAATCCTCTCATCCCTCACACCTTTAGCCTGCACCCTAGTTCTTATAAATAAAATTAAATCTTTGAAAAAGATTGTTAAGGGCAGTTTGGAAGGCTTAGAAACAGATGGCTAGCACCCCATCTCTTACCTTACACTAACAGTGCTCATGCCAGCTACCACAAGCACAACCAAATAAAAGCCTAACTAAGGTAACAGAAAATCTTTGAATTCCAAAGGTCATAAAACCCAGAGTCAAGTCATTGCTTAATCCTCCATGTCAACAGTTTATGTAACTACATGCCTCTAATCACACAAGTGATATACCTTAGCGTTCTTCCTCTTCAGAGTTTTTACCATCTGGACTTCTTCAAGCTACATAAAACAAAAACATACTTGCAACGCATTATCTATGTATTAGTTTATAAATGCATGCATTAATTCAACATCACATTTAGTTCAAACAGCATTTGAAGTATGGGTAGTTCCAGCAAATGCAAACTTTTCAAATAGTATGATGTCTCTAGATTAGTAAATAAAAAATCAGACCAATTAATTGTACCACTGAACTTACCATTTTGATGAGTTCTTCTTTAATATTAGAATGAAATTTATCGATGGTGTTCTTTAAAATTTTAGATTCTACTTTTTGTCTGTAGAAGAATAAAACAAAATCAGTGATAAGTTACATAAAGCATTTTGAAAGTATGTTTCATGTACAATTTGGCATATACCATTTGAGTCTCTAACATAATGGTCAGCCTACAGCCCTTTCTCAGTTTTAGATACTGGAAGTATCTCAGGAAAAAGAAAAGAACACAGGAAACAGCCTCCCTTGAACTCTAGGGTATGTGGTCATCCTATCTCTGTGCAATGGTCATGTCCAGAGTTGTTAACAATGCATGTCCAATTTTTGTTAACAAAAATGCTCAGAACTATTCCGTCTTTTCCTGCTGTCTTACCCAGTTACCACAGCCCTTAACCTCTCCATCCTTCCTGTCTGCTTATAACTAGTGGAATAATTGTACGACACATTTGAACTAGACAACAGTGAAAACATGGAAATATTTGCAAATTATCATAACTGCTATGAAAAACAGTAAGAAGGGTCCTCAAACACTGAAAAAAGGACTAGCTTATGATCAGCAACACCAGTTCTGGAAGGACACTCAAATACACACAAAGAATGGAAAGCAGACACTGAAGAGTTAACTGCACACCTGCTGCTGGTTGCAGCACTCGTTGTAATCAAGACAGGTGGAGGGTAAAGAAACAAACGTGCGTATGCGTGTGTTCATAAAAAATACTTATTCTTTGTCCCTGGTTCTACATCACTGTGCTTAGAGCCAGGAAAGTATTCTGTTACATTAGTGATGATTTCATACGTGCCCATGGGTGGGAGCTGGTTGCAGGAGAACCTACCACGTGACTAGGGCATTGCATCTGTCAGTCTCGTCCGCCTAACATTTGGGCAGTCTGTGCCTGAGATGAAACCTCTGTAGGAACCCAAGAGGATGAGGTCTGGAGAACGTCCATGCTGACCAACACATGGATGGGGGTGGGGGTGCACGTCCAGGGGGCGTGGAAGTTCACACCCCTTCCCACACATTCACCCTGTGCAGCTCTTCTGCTGGCTGTTCCTGAGTTTGATCTGCTACAATAAACTGCTAACTAGCAAGTAAAAATGTTTCCCTGTGTCCTTTGAGCCACTCTAGCAAGTTAATTGACCCCAAAAGTTATACCTGGACATACAAAAACATTACTAATTCGTAAGACTAAAGAAATAATTATAATGGAAAGTAAAAGTGCCTAAAACTGAGTAAGTCCTACACACCAAAAGTTCTGGAGTGAGCAGAAGTGGTGCTTCTAGGGAGATGCAGTCGGTACTCACATCACGACTTCTAAGACTTACTTATATTCCAGGAAGACTGTTTCAAATGCAGACAGAACAACATCTAACTCTGTGATGTTGCTTGTTTTCTTTCCTTTCAGATACCAAATATGTACACAGTCAGAAGTATCTAGAACAATAAGATAGGTCAATTTATTATGCTGATTTATCAATGGTTAGCTTTAAGTTCAGGGCTCTGAAAGCCTAAAACAAAAATTGTTCCACCAGATCACTAACAATAGTTACAGCTGAAGTGAGGTTGAGCTCTGCCACCTGTTTTTGTTCTGTGCGTAGTGTCACAGAGCCCGTCTATAATGTCACTCTGAGAGCCGTGCTCTTGTTTCTTCCTTCTGGTGAAGCAGCCAAAAGCAGTGCTACTTTCTAATTACCTGGGTCTTCGCTGCTGTTATTCAACACTGGTGGCAATAGAGCTCTTCCCTATTAACAGCAGTTTCTGAATTTTAAGCTACGTGATAGGCCACTTTAGAACACATCAAGATTATTCAGTGTATTGACTTAGATAGTTGTAGTAAAATACAGTAGGATATTTAAACTAAACCACATGGCATGTACATGAATGAAATGTTACACATTCATAAAAATGGTGTTGTGGCATAAATTACAAGTATATGATTTACTTAGGATCAGAAATGCTCAGTAAAAAGGACTGAATTATAGAGATAAAAAAAGAGTGACTATTTTTGGGTGATGGAACTATAGCTGATTTTATCTTCCCTGCCATATATATCTTCTGAATTTTCTAAAATAAAAATAGAAAATGCTTATAAAAGAGCTGAATGAAGTAAAGAAAATTATTTTCTTCTTAAATGTTCAACAAACTAACCTATGTCAATAAAGATGATACAGAGCAACATGGATGAATCTCAAATAATGAGAAAGTGGGCCCTCCCTGGTGGCTCAGCAGGTTAAAGCACAGCACTGAGAAGCTAAAGCCACTTCCGCATGAGTTCGATCCCCGCCTGGTGACCACGTGGCGTGGCAGACCTCTCCTGGCCCGCCCGCTGCTCCCCTCAGCAGTGTACTTCGTCAGTCTGCCTGTTCTGCTCCCCACTCTGTCTCTGGTGAAGCCTCTCGCAGCCCCTGAGCCTCTGGCCTGTACCCCAGTTCTGTATGCACAAATAAATAAATCTTTAAAAAAAAAATAGTGAGAAAGAAAACAATGAAAAATAGTTAATGAAAAATTTAAATGGATTGGTGGACAGGCAATAAAGCAAAATAAAGGTTAATAGTAAAACACGGTGGGTATATGAATAGGTTGTAAAATTCACCTTTGTTGTATGTTCAAAGTTCTCACGATATGTTGGAGAAAACTGGTTCCTCTAATGTCACATAGTTTGTAAAAGTGGCAATTGTATGTACTTGTAATTTAATAAACAGTTTAAGAAAAAATTCTTCTGAGTGACAAAGTTCTAATGTGTACCTGAGTCTCCATTTCTTTTCTTCCTTTTGCCATGAGAAAGCGCCTTTTTCTGAACTTTCTACAAAAAAAAGATTCTTATGAAGGAAAAAATGTTTTCTATTACAAGAAAAATTAAGACAGTATTATCAAAAACACTATTTTAGTTATAATTCTCATTAAATGCTAAATTAACATACTAGTTAGCAATGTAAATTAGCTGTCTAAATTAATATAAAACATTAAAAAAATTAAGCTGTCTTAAAAACTAAAACTTTTAGCTGTGTTGTAACAATCATTGTCTTGGAAGTCGAACTTTAAATAACATGTGGAATCAATGCGGTTTCTGCTGCCACTATGATGAATTCAGACTGAATCTAGCTCCCCGCCATAACAACACTGAAATGGGGGAAGGAGCTAGCAACTTTATTCAGGCATTGGACAACAGGCAACTTGGGACTGAATTCCTGAAGAAAGGAGACTCAGAAGGTGAGCCCACTGAATGCCTTCTCCCTGGGCTGGGAACAATTTCCAGATAGCAGCACAGCAAGCTAAAGTCCAAGGCGAAGTGGCAGTCCTACCCAGCTGCAGAGGCAGAAATCTGAGTATGCACCCAAGCAACTTGTGATAAGTTGCTCAGAGGAAAGTGTCAGAGATCCATGTGGGCATTCCCTAGAAACAACAGATTTATTGACGGTTCTGGAGGTTAAAATCCAAACTAAGTTTCACTGGCCCAAAACCAGACTGTCAGCAGGAGAGCACTTCCCCTAGAGACTTACAGGGCTATCTGGGCCTTGTCTGGAGCATGCCTTATACTGTGGCCACATCACCTCAGTGTCTTTGCCTCCATCTTCACGTGTCAGATCTGTGTCTGCCTCTCTTATAAAGATGGCTGTGATACCACTGATGGGCCACCACGTAATCCAGGGGAATTAGGACCTGGACATATTTTTGGAGGCCACTATTCTGCAGACTATATATGTATGGGCTTAATTGCAGACTGGAAAATGGCAAAAGAGTAATAATGGAGACAGACAAAGTAATATAAATGTGTCCAATCTGCAGGTCAGAGAGAAAAAAAGAAAAAGGATTGGAAAGTTTTAGTAACTTGTATTTCTATACCAAATGATTTAAAATAGGAACAGGAGTCCCAAAAGAAGTGAGAATAGGACAGGCTGAAGTAGAAGTTGCTATAGCAGGGAAACCTTATCATATGAGAATGAACTTAAAGAAAAAAAAGAAACCAACTGAATTAATGATTAAGAGACTGACTAAAAGTCATTATATGATAAAAATCTTAGCACACGTAATTGATAAATCTTACAGCAGTCTTTTTCCAAGGAAATGGTCAAGGATAGGCACAAAGATTTTTTTAAAGTTTTAAAATTGCAACATGAGTACCAAATGAACTATGTGTGAAGTGCTACTGGTGCATTGAATGCTGTGTAGAATAATGACAAGGTGGTCTCAGTGGAAGGGCTGAGAAATACAGACCAAAAAACATACATCGTGGCTATTTTTGGTTAATGGAACTAAAGGGATTTTACATCCTTTGCCTTCTAAAGTTTTTGAAACATGTTTTGTACTAAGGAAAATCAAAAATTTATCTTTCTAAAGAATAAGAGAAAATGTTTTATTTTCCTCCTAAACATAATCCGATCAACTTTTCTCTCTTACCTGCTGACTTTCTCTCGCCAGGCTCTCTCTGTCAGCATTGGGCTCGGCAGTACGGGCTCCTGTCTTTACAGGCGGGGCCAATTCAGGTGGTTTCTCTGGAAGCTCTGATGCTGCTGGAGCTGGTGTAGCTTCATGTAATGAACTTATCTTCTCTGTTGGTTTGACTTTTCTTCTTACATCAGTTTCTTTGCTGCTTTCAGATTCATTAATGGGCTTGAGTTTTCTTCTTGACTATTTTTAAAAAGCAGCATTACTAGACTCAGAAAATACAGTTGCTTCTTATTGTAGTAGCAGATAACCATAAGATCCACCACATTTATCATTTCTAAACTTCAAAATTAGGCATAGTAGCATGGTTACTGGGTAGGTTGGGAAACCAGAGAGAACCCTACCAAACCACCTTACCTTCACACACGCTGACTATGTGAGTGCACCACAGACAGACAAAGTGCCTGGAGACAGGAGCCCTCTTTAATAATAAGTCCACTATGGCCTCCCTGGTGGCATAGCGGTTAAGTCTCAGCACCATCACCGTTATGACCTGAGTTCATCCCCAGCCAGGGAGCTGGTGCAACTGTCCCTCCCGCTCTCCCCTCAGCAGTGTATTTCAGTAAATCTGCCTATTCTGCTTCCCACTCTGTCTCTGGTGAATTCTCTCACCTCCTGTACCTCTGGCTCATAGCCTAGTTCTACACAAAAACAAAAATCTGTCTCAAAAAAAAAAAAAAAACACACATTAGACATAAAAATACTTCATTTATTATAAAAGTAACTTCTCAAATTTCTTTTCTACAAAAAAAAAAAAAAAAGTGGCCACAGCATCTTTTCTCTATTTGCATACAACCTAAATAGGACATGAACTATCCTAGGAGTTAAAATAGAAAAGAGAACTCTTACTTACCTTTTTTGCACTAAATTTTATAGACTCGTTTTCACTTGCTTCTGTTTCAGAAGTGCCTGAACTGTTTCAAAGAACAAGCCATCAGTTTCCTGCACACATTTTACTCTATTCACATTTACCATGTCTAAGCTGATTGTTCAATATGAAAGCTCAGTCTAACCAGAATTCCCAACATCATGCTGTGTTCCCAGGTTTACTGATTTTCAGCATCTTCCCACACCCAGAGCAACCACCATCTGTGCTGGGCAGGGAGGGGGCCCCCATTACCCCAGTGCCCTGTGGTCATGGCTGCGAACCTCACTGTCCTCCAACCTCCACCAACCCAGTGTGTGTGTGTGACTGTGCACACAGGTATCCACCATCTGTAAAAAGTGAGTCTGCAGACACTGGGCACAGCATTAGGATAGAAAATGCCTTCTTTTTTGTACTTTGAAAAGGAGAAAAGGGGATAAGAGGTGCGAATTTTTTTTCTCATTTAATTCATACAACAAAGTTTCCCTAATACAAACTTCAAAATGCCAAGTGCGATAAAATTACTTTAAAAACAAGATGGTCTAAAAATCTCAATGACATTCTTCAAAGAAATAGAAAAATATTGATGAGATTCATATGGAACAACAAGAGACCTCAAATAGCCAAAACTCTCATGACTAAGATAAAACAGAATGGAGGCATTACAATCCCAAACTTCAAGCTATACTGCAAAGCCATAATAATCAAAATTGCATGGTACTGGAACAAGAATAGACATACAGACCAGTGGATTCTAATAGAAAACCTGGATATAAACCCACAGCTTTATGGACAGCTAATCTTTGACAAAGGAACAAAGAAGATACAAAGAAAGTTTGTTCAGGAAAACTGGGAAGTTACATGCAAAAAAATGAAACTAGATCACTATCTCATACCATATACAAAAATCAACTTGAAGTGGATTAAAGCCCTAGACATAAGAATGGAAACCATAAAATACCTGGAAGCAAAGATGGGCCAAACACTACACAACATACACTTCAGCGACATCTTTAAAGACAGAGCATCCAATGCAACAATAGTGAAGGCAAAGATAAACAGATGGGACTACATCAAGCTAAAGAGCTTCTGTACAGCAAAAGAGACATTACAAAAGACAATCAGACATCCCACTGATTGGGGAAAAATTTTCTCACACAAAACTAGCGATAAAGGATTGATCACAAAGATAGATGGAGAACTGATGAAACAACAAAAATAAACAACCCCATCAAAAAATAGGCAGAAGAGCTATTTCCAAAGAGGAAATGCAGACAGGCAACAAGGATATGAAAAAATGTTCAACATCACTTGTAATAAGGGAAATACAAATTAAAACCACAATGAGATACCACCTCACCCCAGTGAGAATGGCACATCTTCAAACAACTAGCAACAACAAATGTAAGCAAGGATGTGGAGAAAAAGGAACTCTCCTGCACTGCTGGTGGGAATATAAACTAGTACAACCTCTATGGAAAACTGTTTGGAGTTTCTTCAAACTGCTTAACATGGAGCTTCCCTACGACCCAGCACTCCCACTCCTAGGTATCTACCCAAAAGACACAAAAACACTGACTGAAAAAGATACCTGCACCCCCATGTTCATTGCTGCTTTATTTACAATTGGAAAGACATGGAAGCAGCCCAAATGTTGATGACTGGATTAAAAAGATGTGGTACATACACACAATGGAATATTACTCAGCAACCAAAAAAAAAAAAGACACGTCTCACATGTCTTTTGCAGCAACATGGATGAAGCTGGAAAAGATCATGCTTAGTGCAATAAGCCAGAAAGATAAAGAAAAATACCGATGGTTGCGCTCATAGCAGGAGTATAACGGGCCAGGCGAGAAAATAATAATAATGAACAGCCATATACCAGAGACATATTATGGGAGTGGAGTGGGCAATGGGATCAAAAGAAGTGTGCTGACTATGGTGATGGCACATGGGTGACTTGCTGATGGGAAACCCACTGGATTACAATTGAAATAAAAAAATATGTACAAAATGATGTAAAAATAAACAATTGTTACTTTTTAAAAAAAATGAGATTGTCTATTTAAAGTGTTCAGTGCCTAATAGGAAGACTAAGGATTGTGCTGAGTGGTGACTTAACAAGAGAAGACGGCACAGACACACAGCCGGGAGATCAGGAAAGACATTGTCTTTATGACCTTTGACTTTTGAGACCCCTTTTTCTAAGCAAACAAATGAAGGGAAGGGTATTAAGTAGCAGCAAATATGAAAGCACAATCGCGTGAAGCAGCCTGGCATGGTGAAGAAACTCGGCAGAGGGCACCGAATGTACAGTTTAAGAGGGAATCACGCTAGGGTGGGGTCAAAGGACATGACCAGGGTGGGCAGGTAGCCAGAGAAGTGGCCACAGCCTCCCCACCCCCTGGGGGCCAGCAGCTTCTGGCTGTATAGCCTCAGGGCCCACTGTAGCACCTGAGCAAGGTGCACTCTGGGTGGACAGTCTCTAACGAGCAGCAGAAGAGCATGACAGCTCCACACCCACTTCCTGCTCGCCTGATGACTGGAGTTAATCTAAAGTCTCAGTCAGCACACTGTGATCAACCTGTTTACACAGGCGGAAAGCTTGCAGTCACTCTGACATGCTTTCTGTTTCTTGAACTTATTACTAAACCCTAAAAGATTGATAATGTGTCAACGCACCTACATAAAAATTTTTGTGTGAGGAAAAAAAAACCATAAGGTGTTCAGTGAGAATGGCACATATTAAAACAACCAGCAACAACAAATGCTGGCTGCACTGCTGGTGGGAATGCAAGCTAGTATAACCACTATGGAAAGCTGTTTGGAGGATTCTCACACTGCTAAACATGGAGCTCCTGACAATTAAGAGAATCTGTAAGTTAAAGGGAACTCTCAAATCATCTAAAATTCTATGTTTATAAAACCTTTCTCACTCTCTTATTTGTTTTACATCAAAGATAAAGTACCTTCACAGACGTGTTTCCTAGGTTAGTCAACTATAACAGTTACTATAAGTAACGTCAAGCAGAAAAAGTAAGTTTGGTTCTCCTGAAGAAAAACATAATTTGGCTCAAAAGATCTTAAACAGAATTTAGTTTTCTAAGTATGTACCTTAAAGAGCTTCTCAGAAACTCCATTAACCATGAATAAATAATTGCTTAAAATGTAACTACCTTCTTTTTGCTTCTTTTCCTTGAGGAGTTGAAGGAATAGATGGCCCACTGAATTCTTCATCGGCGTATATGGCAGTGCTGTGTAGGGGAGGGTCTACACAAGACAAATTCAGCTCAGTCTGGTGGGCAACTAAGTCTGTTCTCTTAGAACGGAATCAAAAGCAATTTTGGTTTAAATGGCTAACAAGATCTTAATTATACCGCTTCCCAAATGTTTGTGATCTCACACCTCAACAATAAAAAATTTCAACCATTTCACCAATGGGTATTTGTCAATTATGCCCTATTTTTCTGTAGTTATAATATGGAATTTTTGACATGACAAAGTGCAGATAAACAGGAAGGCTAAGTTTCTCTTTCCTTTCCTGACAGAGCGCCTTCATGCCCTGGAAGCTGCCACACTGACCATACACTCAAAGGCTCAGCGTGCCTGGCCCATCCTAAGACTGCTGCCTGGCAAAACACCTCGCACAGGGCAGACGCCCAGTACTCATGAAAGGGCCCTCCAGGGAGGGGTTCCAGGGCTTCCTTGCCTTCTCCCTCCTACTTTCCTCTGCATTGCTAGAGTCTTCAGTTAACAAAAAGACCAAACAGCCCTGGTGGGAAGTTGCTCCTCCCTGCTCCGCAATAGGAGTATCTCCAGGGACCTTAGCACCCTCCTGGGCTGTGGCTGCCGCAGGGGAAGAACTTGGGGGAATGGGGAGGTGGCCAGTGTGGAGAGCATCTGCTGACTCAGCACGTTTAAGAAAAGGGAACATCATCCGTCTTCTCTTACCAGACAACATTCTTGGTGGTATGAAGTGAGAAATATATTTTACATTCCTCTTGCTACAGAACATGACATAACAGGTGTCCTCACGAGACTGTTAACAAGTGTGACTCGAAGAGTGCTACTCTGACCAAGCTGAGGAGGGATCCCAGTTCCAATATACCCAGAAGTGAGAAAAGTTAATTCAAATTAGACAAGTATTCCTCATATTATATGCAGACAATGGATTTTTATATTTAAAAATATGTTGATATTTTTCTTAGTGACAGCTTCAATTATAGCTTAAACTACTTCAAAAAAATGTTAGGGTAAAAATTTAAAATACCAACCAAAGGTTTCATAAGGTTCTTCATCTTTGTCATTTTCATCCAGCTTGCCAATGCTCGAGATATCAGAAGTGTAATCAAATACATCAGTGGATCCACACTTTGGGCCAGCTTTCTAAAAGGGAATCGGCGAATGTCACTAAATGACTAACAGAACACTGCAAGAATACACCTGCTACCTCTGTCACCGACACAGGCGATCTGTAACACTTTGGTCAGGAACAAGGACGTAGACTGATGACGTAACCCCAGGAGTGACACACTCCCTATAACGGACCAGAGAATACACACAGTAGCTTTGGAGGTTGTAAGGTCTTTTAAAAAGACAAGGTCTCTCTGAATTGTTCAACTTGGCCATTGTGGAGTGACAATGCAGGGGAAAAGCACGGCTGAGTTCAAGCAATTTATGGTTACTGGAATTTGAATTTCTTACTTTCACGTCATGAGATAGTTTTAGTTTTATTTCGACCATGTTAAAACCACCTTAGCTTGCAGGGCTGGACAAAAGCAGAAGCACGGTTAGACGTGGCCACAGGCCACAGTGGGCTGTCTCCCCAGAAACACACCTGTACAGCTGGAAGCTCACAAACATTGCTCAGAAGTCCTGACAGAAGGCAAACAACCAGGGCTACAGTTCATGGGCTGATACACCCCGTGAAGTTTGGTACCAAAAATCCCAACAACAGACCAAAACATGCAGAAAGGGAGAAATACTTACACAATAGTTCTGGAAAATATGGACAGGTACATTCACAGACAAGAAAATATGAGGGACTTTGTAAAGATGATAAAGGATGAATTGCCACTCACAGACCCTCAATGAAACAAATTACTCTGTTTGGTGCCAAACTGCCAGAAAAAGCTGAGAGCCTCGATGCTCCCTGAGGCAAATGCATCCACCTGCAGTTTTGAGACACCTTCCCAGAGGAGGAAAGGAGAAGGGGAACCTAAGGAAACATCTGCAGGCGCGGGGCTTTCTGCTAAGGCAGGCTGGGAGTGTGTGTAAAGGATCCCCAACACCCCAGTTTTCAGCCATCAGGGCAGAGAACTGAGAGACCTGTGCAGAGAACTAAGACTGGGGGAGCAGGGAGCTGATCAAAACACTTCAGAGTATCCTGGGGCTTCCCAGAGAGAAGAGCCACTTTGTATAGCTTTGTGAGTGAAGAATGGTTTTTAGGGCCTCCCTGGTGGTGCAGAGGTTAAAGTCTCAGCACTATCAAGCAATCCCTGGCCAGGGAGCTTGACCCACATGGCACAGCAGACCTCTCCTGTCTCACCTACTGCTCCCCTCAGCAATGTGGTTCAGTCAATCCTCCCTACTCTGTCTCTGGTGAATCCTCTTACCCCCAACCCCCATCTCTGGCTTACACCCCAGTTTCTGTATGAATTTTTTTTTTTAAAAGAATGAGTCTCACAGATAGAAATGTTTGAAAAACAATCAAAAGAAGACTATCTCATGATATGTCAAATGGAGATGAAATTCAAATTTCAGATTCCATAAAGTATCACCTTCAGAGTAAAAGAGTCAATCCCTGAAGGCTGGGACTACAGGGGGGAAAAACCACACAAGACAGAGAGCTCAAGGGGCAGGACAGAGCAGGGAGCTCCCCGACTCCAGGGGTCCTAGAATACGGCCCCTCTCCGATGGTTAATGTCAATGTCCAAAACCAACCGCATGAGCCATGGAAAAATAACTTGAACTATCAAAGGTGTTAAAGAGGAGTATTTGCCTTTAATAAACATTTATCCTAAGTAAAACTATTATGTGGCCTAAGTGGAACACTATGAAATCAAACAATGGTCGAACACTACAAAGCATGGAGAAACAGCTGTAACTGCAATTTTTACATGTCAATTACCAAAGTAAAATAGAACCAACTTGGGCCCAGAAAAAGTGTGTTAACAATGGTCTTTTTCTCCAGAATTTTGGGGAAAAGTGGAAAAAGAAATACACTTTCCACTACAATAAAACACTGAGCTTACTAGTGGAGACTATGAAATGGGGGTGTCAGGCATTCTGCACTGCCAATTATGAGACATCACATTAAAATATGAAAAGATAACTTACCTCATTCGAGGAATGTGCTCCTCCTACAGTATTCTTGGAATATTTCACACTATCAAATGGCAAAAACAGAGTTAGGAAATATTTAAAATAACAGAGGAAAACACTAACTTGCAACCCTGTTTTGAGATAATAGAAAGATACACACAGATCTCTGTCTTGGCTGCAGGCAGAGTTCCCGAAACCCAAGTGACAAGGCCACCAGGAGCGCCTTTTATTATGTGAGGTGACTCTAGGTAGGCTCATGATGGGGAGTGATCCCCAAAAGGGCCAAACCATGATGAGAAGCTTGGGAGGTTTCACTTGTACCTCCATTCCCCATTGAGGGTCAAAACGCAGTTACTAACTGACCATGTCAGTCAGGGGCATCCGTAAAATGCCCCCGTAGGCATTCTGAAAAGCTTCCTGGTTGGTGAACACCTCCATACCAGGCAGATGGCACACCCCAGTGCCACTAGGACAGCCGCCCCTGAGGCTTCCAGGGCTCTTCACCTGTGCCCTTTATCACACCCTCTCACAAGCTGGAAGGCAGAAGGAAGTGCTTCAGAGATCAGTGATCGCCCTGACACATTGGCCCAACCTGAGGGAGCCTCCAATTTGTAGCCAAACTGAGAGATGCTCTGGACAACCTGGGGACCTGGGCTTTGAGTATCAGCGCTATGGGAATGAGTCCTTGAACTTGCGGGCTTTGACACTATCTCTGGGAGGACAGATCAGACTGGAGTTAAGTTGCAGGGTGCCCACTTCATGTGGCAGAAACTCCCACACACAAATGGGTGCAGAGCATGACCCCTTCCCCAGCATTTTCTCTCCAAATTACAACCTTCACTAGCTGCACAACTGCGTTCAAGGCAGCTCAGCTCAGGTGATGGCAACAACCTTTAGCAAGCAGAAGCCATGATTCACATGTGTCATTACATTTTCATAGGTGAAAACCTAGCACTAATGTATAAAATTACATAACCTCTCTCCCTCAAGGACACGGAAAGCTCCCATTCTTGCTTTTTTCCTTCCCGTGAAGGTGTCAACAGCAATGATTATTTCTGCAGAATTAAGCAAAGGGAGGCATATAAACACGAAGCCCCTGATATCACTTCCATCCCGGGTCTGCTTCCTGCTCCTGTTTTTTCACTTAGCCAGAAATATTTCATAGGTAGGCTTGAGCCCCATGTTATAGATGTGGATTTGCCCACAGCAACACACCGCTAGGGAAGGAGAGAAGCCTGCACGAAAATCTGTCAGCCCAAACCCAGAGCCTGCCCCTTTCTAAGCCCTTCAAGTCCCCTCCATTGGGCACTCGAGGACACAGCCATGTATCTTCATTATAAAGTAAACAAGGGAAACAAACAGGGTTAAAAACTGGAAATTAGAACAGCAGATGAGATGGTCGGCGCACACGCAGGACTGTACAGTTCGCTGGGACATGTTTGTCGAGGACCATGCACAGAGCCTGACTGTTATTTTAATAGACATCAGCTTAGTTTGTGGCAATGCCCGTTCTGTTCTGCTTCTTTCCCTTGTTACCTGCCTTTTTATATTCTTTGTTGGTTTCTTTCCTGGATGCTTTGTCATTCTTCCAGCCCAAGAAAACAGAAAGGCAGTTCTTAGTCTACAAATACACTCACCACCCTGGCTTCGCCCTATCACTGACAGGAGTAGGGGGTGGCAGGACCCCCAAATTCTACATGCTTCTGATGACACTACTATCACTGTTGCTTCCTACTTTAAACACACTATGCAGATATTTGTGGATATCAAAATCAGTTTAGTGGATCTGAACTAATATTTCATTGAGTAATACTTAGTTTGATATCTCCTTTACCCACGTTTGCCAACTGTTTACATTTTGTCTCATTCGCTTTGTATGCGAATTGTAACCTAGAGACACTGTGCACCTTTACCCCTAAACACCTAAGAGATCATTATCTTAAGTAGTCACCATACAATGTCCAAATAAAGAAATTTAATATTGTCATGATGATCAAAATTATAGTCTAGCTCCAAATTTCAACATTTGCTCTATAATGCCTAAAGGTCTTTCCCCAGTGTGTGTGTGTGTGTGTGTTTGTGTATTTGTATATAAACATATATACCTATACATAAATATGTTTATATATTTATTTATTTATGCATATAGAAATTGGGTTACAGGCCAGAGGTGCAGGGGGGTGAGAACATTCACCAGAGACAGAGTGGGGAGCAGAACAGGCAGATTGACAAGTACACTGCTGAGGGGAGCAGTGGGTGGGTCAGGAGAGGTCTGCCACGCCATGTGGATCACCCGCAGGGGTCGAACTGATGCAGAAGTGGCTTTTGCTTCTCAGTGCTGTGCTTTAACCCGCTGTGCCACCAGGGAGGACCCTCTCCCCAGTATTTTAAAGAAGAAATAAAAGATAATATAAGACAAAAGATTGTCCTGGATATCATACTTCCATAACCTGTTGTGTGTGTGTAGATGTGCAAATCTGTACTGTAATGTAAAACATTACTGTGAAAAACAAAAAAGCACAGAAAATTGTTTGCAGCTGTAGTTTCCAAGCACCTGTAGGGCTTGTTAAATCAGATTGTTGGCCCCATTCCCAAAGGGTCTGATGGTTTCATTTCTAACCAGTTCCTAAGTTTCATTTAATTCTTAAACCCCAGAAAGGTATAACAGGTATTCATTTTATGGCAATTATGATTCTATCCTTCAGTACCATGATATATGAATGGTCACAGCCACGTAACAAACAGAACTAGAAACCAGGTAACAAACCTCAGCCTAAATTCTCTCCACTCTCTCTTGTCTGTGCTAAAAAATAGTCACATTTCCTCCTTACCTTAGGCTAGAAGGAAGGGGCTTTCAAAAGATGGAAACCTTTGTAAATCCCTATGTTAAGATTTCTGGTGTTTTTGCACCGGTGCATGCTGGGGGAGGAATGGACAGATTTCATGACTCCCAAAGGCAAAAATGTAGGGTGCGGGGGAAGGAGGGGAGAGAGAACTGAAAACCAAAAGCTACTGGCCTATCAGTTCAACTCTGGTCAGCTGGCGTTCAATGCCCCCTTCTTTCCCAATTCTCTCCATTCGGGAGGTCTTCACTGCTTCACCTGGCCACCGGGGGTCTAGACTGTTTACTCTAAATCCAGACTGTCCTGCTCCAGCCTTCCCTACTCTCTGCCTGACTTATCTTCTACCGTCACCCTGCACCCACAAATGCCACCTTCTCCAAGCAGTCTCCCCACAGCTGAGGCAGAACCTCCCCCGCGCCCCCCCCCCATGCATGACTTTGGGTACCCAGTGTTAACAAGACCAGATCTCTCCAGCCGGGACCAGTCCGAGCCTTGGACTTGCCCCAGATGCAGCCAGCGCCCGGCGGCTGTCAATGAAGCCACGGAGAACAGCTTAGAGAGCAGCTTACATTGCTTAAAAGCGCGTACCATTTTCACAAAACTGCTAACCCGTCCTGGTGGCTTCTTTAAGGACAGAAGGGGCGGCCTGACCCTCCCCCCTACCTCCCCCCAGCATCTGGGTTCAGCTTTCGGGTCTGCGGTTTGTATTACACAAACAGTTGGACCTTCAAATAAACACACTACCAGTGTGACGCAGAAAGTACCTGCTGGATACGGTTTCAAAACAGTTTGAGACCCCTCCCAGGTGGCGCAAAGGGGCAGGACGCAGCAGGGCAGGCGAGCCGCAGCCGCTCTGAGCGAGTTCGATCCCCAGCCCGGGTGTGCCCCACGTTGTGCCGCTGACCTCTCCAGACCCGCCCGCTGCTCCCCTCCGCAGTAGATCTGCCTGTCCTGCTCCCCAGTCTGTCTCTGGTGACTCCCCGCCCCTGCACCTCTGGCTCGTACCCCAGTTCTGTATGCATAAATAAATCTTTAAAAAAAATAGTTTGAGACCCCAAGCAAGA